CATCAGTAGGCTGCGCTGTTGTGTGTACAGCACCTGCAGCCACGCCGTGCAGACCATTTTGTGTTCTGCTTTCACTCTCGTGTGCGTGTTCTAGTTTTCTTCGTGAGTGTCTTTTATAATCACAGTGCAATGCTTCCTTCTGTTAACCAGCCATAGCTCGTTAAGCCACTCCCTGCTGGTGGCTGATAAGTTTTCTTACATTCTTTTTCATGCCTAACGAACAGCTTTCTGCATGTAGCTCTTTGATGTGCTGAATTTTCCTTTTTTTTTTTTTTGAGACAGAGTCTTGCTCTGTCGCCCGGGCTAAAGTGGCCTGGTGTCTAGCTCACAGCAGCTTCAAACTCCTGGGCTCAAGCGATCCTCCTGCCTCAGCCTCCCGAGTAGCTGAGACTACAGGCGTGCGCCACCATGCCCAGCTAATTTTTTCTATATATATTTAGTTCTCCAGCTAATTTATTTCTATTTTTAGTAAAGATGGGGTCTCGCTCTTGCTCAGGCTGGTCTCGAACTCCTGAACTCAAGTGATCCTCCTGCCTCAGCCTCCCAGGGTACTGGGATTACAGGTGTGAGCCACCTCACCCAGTCTGATATGCTGACTTTACTTTAGACAAATTATATACTTGAAGAAATATGTATACAAACGGTTGTTTGATATGCAGTGCTAGTTTGATTAAAATGTTCATTAATATTTAAAATGATTTTGTGTTTCTACAAGATAAGTGAAGAAATGTGTATACAAACGGTTGTTTGATATGCAGTGCTAGTTTGATTAAAATGTTCATTAATATTTAAAATGATTTTGTGTTTCTACAAGATAAGTAAAGATTTTTCTGTTTCCTAGATTTCTAATAAACAAGTAGCATGTATTATATTTCTTTCCTTGTTAATGAGCTCGTAATAGACATTTCATATACTCATTCTATTTAATATTTACTCTTTTAAATATATCTCTCAACCACATTTTATTTTCAGTTTTTTGTTGAAACTACCATTTTTCCTTACATCCCTGTTGACAGCACTGATTGTTTTACTACCACTCCGGGGGCATGGGAGGAACACGCGCAGCTCTTGAGAGCGCCTGCACCTGGGCTCTCACTGGTGCCTTTGTTCTGGTCTCCTGGAAATAGAAGATCGGGAAGATTTTGTTTTGTAAAACTGTCTAAAATTATA